ATTCTAACTAAAACGTATAGATTGAGAAGCAGGCAAATGTACTCCGGGTTACAGCAAACGAAAGACGAAAACGCTAGTAAAAATGTTGACGAACTCAAATCAGTGGACGTTACACAGAAAATTTAGCGTGTATGATAGGCTTTATGATTTGTCTATGAAAATGAGCATAAACTTGTGATAGTGTCCTCGGGATGCTTAAAGAAAAAGTTTTTATCATTATTACATAAACGATAATGAAAACAAGTGTTTGTTTTTGTTTTAGCTAGACGAAAAATTTTCTACTCTCCATATTAAGACCCTGTGCAAAGTATGTTTCCCAGAAAACCGTAAAGACCTTACGATCACGCACGATAAGTAGACCCCCAGACGGAGTCGAAATACTCCTTACAGGACGGATACTTGATGCTTATGATCATATTTCCAGCCAACCTCTCCCAGAATTTTATGGTGCTCTAGTTAAAAGGGTGTCACCAAGTTTTGTTTTTACTCGTGGTTCGAAAGACTCATAAGCAGGACCCCAGTGTTTGCGCCTGTGTTTGCTTTTGGGGAAGGTCTCACAATCCGCATTGTCAGTCCTATCAAATGCAATCCGCACGTTTGCTAAGATGTAATTCTATGAAACACGGGGTTTCCGAAATAAAAAACGGGGAGGACGGAGGCAATTGAACCATATTTATAAGGCTTAACTCGTCCTGACGGATGAAGAATGGCTGGAAATCAGGGGAGGTAGAAGACGACCAGGCAGAATGCATGGCTCATTTCCCGGTTTTAAAGAGGGTTTCTCGATGTCCACTCTGGAAGTTGTTGACAGATTACAGGTGCATTGACTAGATTCTGCAATAGTTAACAGTTCTCCGTAAACGCCATCGTCCAGAATGGGAAGCCCACTCAAGGCATCAGCCACTACATTTGCACTACCTATAACGTATTTCATTGCATATGTGTAAGCAGACAGGGTGAGTACCCATTTTTGCGTTCTTGGTGCGGACATCTGATGTATCACTCGTTTTTCTCGTAGAAAACCTAAGTGGGGTTTGTGATCAGTGTGAATCTCAAAGGGTCGGCCAAAAACATACAGGTTGGAATGATGCTGGCCAAACATTATTGCTAAGGCCTCTTTATCTAGTTGTGAATGGTCGGTTTTTGCCTGTGACATGGTTCTTGATGCAGAGGCAGTCGGAATCTTAGCACCATAGCACATTCGCTGCATGAGAACCGTACTTACGCCGTACGTAGACGCATCACCTTTCAGTATGATAGGCTCTTCTAGGTCATAATTAATTAGAACAGGTGAGTAGGTAAGAGGCGCCTTTGTCTGTTTAAAAGCAATTTAATCGATCTCCGACCAATTCCAACAACGATTCTTTTCAAGTAGTCGATAAAGAGGCTTTAGAATTGTAGCCGATTGATACATAAAGCGACTAAACTGGATGACCAACCTCAGGAATGATCGCAATTGACTAGTCTTGTAGGGGTGCGGCTTTAGGCTTATGTTCGAGTGGATGGAGGCCTGTTTTATCCATCCTGAATCACAGGTAGTCGACCAAGTCGACAAGGAAGATGCACCTATCTTTCTTGAGTTTAGTACCATCTTCCGCTAAACGTTCTAACACGATGTTTAGAGTCTCTAGATGGCTATGTTCAGATGGGCCGGAGACTAATATATCGTGCAGATACAGGCAAACGTGAGATATATCCTTCACGCGATTATCAATCAAATATTGAAATAAACCGGAAACAAAACTTTCTTCAAATGGTAGTCTTCTGTATCGAAAAAAACTCCGATGCGTTTTAGTGGTGGTGGCGTCTCGAGATTCAGTATATATGACGACTTGATTGTAAGCATGCTTCAGGTCCAAAGTTGTAAACTGATGGCCAACTCAGAGGGGTGCGTACAGATCCTCCAGGCGTAAGAGGGGATAAGGCTTCAGTTTAGTTGTTGAGTCGATTTTCAACTTGCAGTCGCCTAAAATATGCACAGAACCATCCGATTCAGGAACAGGAACTATTGGGGCTGCCCACTCCAAATATTACACGAGCTCGATACTGTCCGCTTTCTGTAGACGATCCAGCTCTTCTTCGACATTCGGTGCTACTGCATAGGGAACTGTACGAGCTTTGAAAGTCCGGGACTGAAAATATGACTGAAAATGGAACTTAACAGGCGGACCGCGGTAGTGAGTAAAAAAATCGTCACGAAATAATTCCTTATGATTTACCAAAATGTAATCTAAAGCCAGATTTACACCAATATGATGCACATAAAGTAGCACAGAAGCCACACACTTAATCCAATTCTATCCGAGGAGATTTAGTTGCTGGCTTCCTCTCAGCACATGAACCGGCAAGTAATGAGGTCCTCCATCATGCCCGACTTCGGTTGTAAAGACCCCTCGAAATTCTACGTTCTGTCCAATGTAACTACGGAATCTTGAGTAAACCGGAAGGAGGAAGGGTAATTTCTAAAGAGAGGCGTCACTGATGAGAGTAACAGTTGAGCCAGTGTAAATTATAAACTGCACGGGATGGTGATCAACCGGAAGCGTGATGGTGTAGGGCGATTGGAACGGCGATTTGGCCGAAAACATTCGGAGTATAGTCTCGCAGTAACATTAATTATTACAATCATCCGCGTGTTAGTCATTAGCGGTAGCAGCAGCAATATCAGTGCACTTATGCTTGTACTGATATTGGTGTTTCCGGTGGTGGAAATTGAATTACTACTGGCAGTAGTAATACCCGTAGTCTGATGCTGATGGTTGTAATTGTAATGCAAACATTTGTCTTCGCACAAACAACTCTCGTGCTGGCAGAAATAGTGCTGGTAAGTGTAGTGAGTGACGTGACAGTATTATTATCAGTATTTCTAACAGAGTTTCTAGCGGTAGAATTAGTAGCAGACGTAGTAAACAGCCAACTGGCGCAACCAAGCGGATTCCATTGACTTTTAATATACTACAACTGAAATTCGTCAATCTATGAGGCTACGGCTTACTTTATGGTTGATGTTAACGAAGGGTAAACCGGTTTTCCAGACTGACACTGACGATAGCGATATACTGCACAAACAATTAGACCCTAAACCTTCAAGACAGCGCAGGTGTTTTTCAGGCAAATTGAGTGGGTTTGGTCCATTTGCCAGCATCATTAACACTGTTTCGACGTTCTGGCATGAGTGGCGGAAATATTAGCGTAAAATTATGTTTGGCGAAAACAAAACACCTAATTTTGCATGCCGGTGTTTTTCTTCATGCGGGTTAAGATCGCGCTGTGATTTCAGTCCTTTTTAATGCTCGGTCATGTCTACAGAGTGTGCCCGGTTGAGTGTGTTTTAGATTAGACTTAAAAGTTAAGGGAATAGTTAGTTCCGGGCGGTGAGCGATAGCGTATCGATCTTAGTACCATACTCCGGTGGTGATGGTTATCGGAACAGTGGGCTTCCTGTGACGGAGGTCGCCTGTGGGTCTACCTGTTTGCCTGGGAAATCAATCAGGGCGTTATTGAAGACACAAAGTGCGTTCAGGAGGAAATTAGGAGAATTCGTACTGCCGTAAAATCTGGCCGGAAGGTTAACACCCAACGCCGTTGGGCTGGAGTTTTATGCAGCTTTTTACAAGCCTATACACACACCTCATAATGTAACCCAGTCAATGAATAAACGCTAGGATCGCAGCTTAATTTCAGACTGATAGGGGGAGTTAATGTATTCAATAGCGGGTAGGCGGCTGCTGTTTAGAGTGGCCGTTTAAAGTGGTGACATCTAAGTCCCACGTGGTCTACCGGTAAAAGTAACCTGAAAACAGTCAGAAAAATCAAGCGCATTTATTATCATGAGGTTACGAAAATGAAGGTAAGGGGGGATAGTGAACGTGGCAAGCACAAGATGCAGAGTAGGCCTGCACCGCGATATTACGGACGCTGGCTCTTCAGCGTATGTCTGCATTGAAGCTGCACACAGTTAAGTCTGTTATTGCCGCCGCAGAAGTTGCTGTAGGGGTTTTGTGACTGCGACAACAAAGACCGGGGGTGGTGGCCGATGCATGAAAGATCGCATGCAGACGATAGCGGTTACAGTAGGCTGCCCACTGGAGAGGCTCGCAGGGACAAAACATTTCACTACGCAACCCGGTCTAACTAGGCGAAAATGTCGGTGTTAGTAAAGTTGCGACGGGCATTCATAAGTTTACTTGGTAGACGACTTGACAGACTGAGCTGGGATTAAAATTTAGGTTTTGGATGTTTCCTTGTTCCTTTTAGGGTGAAGGTAGCAGTATTTTCATGATTCGCAGTTGCATTGACTGAAACGGAATAAGTAGTTCTTTTAGAATCACTTCCCAGATTAATCTTCGTTGTAAGAATAGTAGTAGCTATTGTTCTAATTGTTGTAATAGTCGTAACAGTAGTAATAACAATAGTAGTAGCGGCATCAGCTGCAGCTGTAGTCTTTGCAGTACTTTCCCTACTTACTATGATGGTAATATCAGCAATGGCCATATCCGCAGTACGATATCTTCGATTGCTTGTAATGGTACGGTTTTTGTTCATGCCAATAGAATTTCCCGTGCACCTAAAACTGTCGACGTAGGAGTTGTTTCGGGATAAGCGGCCTAACTGGCTGCCGTTTAAATTTGACTGCTCGCCATGTAAGGGGATACCAGTTCTTCTATACTTTCCTTAGTGATAGACGTTTTTGCAGTAGAATTAGTAAAGTACGTTTTGCAGAAGTGGCTGTGTTTACAGTAAATTTTATTGAAGTACACCCGACAGCAATTGCAGTAGGAGTGTTTGCAGTAGTCTCTTCAGCAGCGATGACGTAAGTCGTGATGACATTAGTAACAGCAGCCATAAACTTATTAAGTATTACTAAAAGTCTTACACGTAGACGCATTAATTGTGTAGTTAAACTTTTACCATTAAATACAGAGATTGTCACCATAACAATAATATTAGTGGTAATGGTAGCAGTTGCAGCCTTGACGGTAGCCATTATGCATGCGGCATTACCGGTAGTCACAGTAGTAGTAGTAGTAGTAGTAGTAGTAGTAGTAGTAGTAGTAGTAGTAGTAGTAGTAGTAGTAGTAGTAGTAGTAGTAGTAGTAGTAGTAGTAGTAGTAGTAGTAGTAGTAGTAGTAGTAGTAGTAGTAGTAGTAGTGGTAGTAGTAGTAGTAATAGTAGTAGTAGTAGTAGTAGTAATAGTAGTAGTAGTAGTAGTAGTAGTAGTAGTAGCAGTAGTAGAACTAAGATTTTCAATGGGAGCAATAACAGTCTTAGTAACGGAAAAATTGTGCTAGCTGTCCTTCGCGCCGTAGTAGCTGCCGTATACGGACTAGTTGTGGGAGAAATACTAACAGCAGTGGTCGTAGTAGTGGTCGTTTGTACCAGTAGTTACCGTAGTACTAGCAGTAGCAGTGGTGACATCAGTCGTATTGGTGGGAGTTCTACTGATAGTACATGTAGTAGTCCAGGCCAGGTTCATTAAGGGAAAGGTAGGCAAACGCCTCTGAACTTCCTTTGGCTACAATGTCACAGAAGATAATACGAAGGGCAAGAAGAGTAGATGCGAGAACAAGCAGAGGATGCGATCATTGAAAGGAGAAGTTGATTGGTCTGAAGTTTTGGATTCCCACCCGAGCTCATCATCAGAGGCAGGAGCAGATAGGGTCAATGGAGGAACAAGAAGTGCAGTCTTTGTGTCTCCGCTACCATTATCCGCGAACGCCTCTGATGATGAGCCCAAGTGAAAGCCCGAAACGTCAGGCTAACAAAGTTCTCGTTCCGGTGATCGTATCTTCTTCTTCTCCTTCTGATGATGATGGACTGTTACCTGGAACTTGCCTGCAGTAGTGCATTCTTACAATTATAAGTTGTACCACATACAGTTGTGTAAGCCGTAGTAGTAGTAGACGCAGAAGCAACAGTGGAAATTTGAGGGATAGTAGGGGAAGTTTTCGAAGGAGGGGAAGCCGTAGCAAAAACCACTTCTTCTATTAGTAGTTACGGTAATTATATTACTAGCAGTAGTATTAGGATCGCTTTTAGATGCGTTAGCACAGATATTTGTACCGGTAGTGGTAGCATAAGCAGTATTAATACTACCGGTACCAGTCGTATTAACCGTAGCAGTAGCGGCAGCTAGGGTAGTAGTATTCATACTCTAAGCAGTATCAGTAGCTCTAGTAGCCATATTCCAGGCTGCAGCAGTAATTATAGACGTAGTAGTAACAGTAGTAGTAGTTTTTGTTGTAGTAGTAATAACTCAAGCAGCATTTGCTACAATTACGGCAGCACATTTAGTGATGTTTTTGGCGGTAGCATCGGTTATGGTAGCAGTAATAGCAGTAGTACATTAGAAAGGCCTTGTGACCCACAGGATTTCCCCAACCGCAATACTAGGAGACTCTGATGGGGGTGTTTAATGCCCTGAATCATCCAGGGCAGCTGCTTCCGTGTGTCTAGGTTTCGCCCTCAAGTTCCTCCGGTAACTGACGTTTTCGTCCGTCATGTGTCGTTTCTGTCCCAAATCACTGATCAGCATGGCTTGCCGGCTTTCTTGTTAATTATCCTACCTGACAACCGCGTGTGAATAGCCTCCATATATTTCTAGTGGAAGCCCTCAACTAACTACAATTTACATAATGCGACATGCACATCATCTATGGTAGGCATCGGGAGATCATGGCTTAGGTCTCAAACGGTACTGTCATAAGTTCAGATTTGTTTGTTTTGCAAATGAGAAACAAGCGGACGTACATACCTGTGGTGGTACTTGTACAACCATGTGCTGTACTATTTTCCTGTTACTAAACTGAGGAAAGTCCTAAATCCAGTACGGTTTCCAAATCGTTGTTTTACACGCTTTGCTACGACAGAAATTATACATTGCGTGCTAAAATGGATAGACAGTTGTAAGGATAGGTAAATAATAGAATACTTATTTCAAATTGAATACAAACAATATAACATAAAACTTTTACACAGAAACCAGCAGTCTTCAGTAACAGGTTATGAAAGGACTTCGGCCTACATCAACAGGGGGAAGCATCCGCTGCACACTTGCCCTTCGGCCCAACGGCGTCCTTTTAGCAGATGTACAGCGGATGAGGTATGCTCAACTCCGTATAGGCAAAAAAGATGACCTGTTATTGCGTGTAGCTTACTGATAACGGTACGACGGAATACGTGGGGAAGTGGTCTATTTAAGACAACTTACGTTAGAACTACTGGACACTACCCAAAATTAGCCGATTTCTTGTTGTCAGATTTCCTTGAGGGTCGTCTACCGGGTAGAGGGCTACTACTACTACTACTACTACTACTACTACTACTACTACTACTACTACTACTACTACTACTACTACTACTACTACTACTACTACTACTACTACTACCAGACCTGCGGTTTTCCAATGCACATCACCTTATACCAGAGACGATAATGCACTTCCTCTAGGTGCGCCCATAGACTCCCACCCTACAGTGTACTACCTCTTCGAAGACAGCGTTTTAATCGACTTTAATAGGCCTCCATGATATTTATGTGTCTGCTGGTTGTCAGGCTCACGAAGGTGATTTACTCTGAAGCATATGTAGCTCAGTGCTACGTGTGGAGCATAAACCTTCCACTCATCGGTCACAATAACACTTCCCGGAGCAATCCATTTCCTAATGAGCTAGGGTGCACTTCAACTGTTCAAAAACGGCTCTACTGCGATCAATATCGTATATACAAATCACCCAGTCCTGCCGTTTTCGGCGTCCGACATTGTGTCTTCTTCAATTAACCAATGTTTCGTCATTTGGAGCTCCCCTACCCTCACCAACTACTTAGGTGACTTCTCTTCCAAGGGTGTTAGGGCACACATTTCTGCACACGGCATACCAGGGAAACCCCGTTGTACGCTATATGTCAATCTTATCCGCGCATTCCGTCATCGGGGTGTCCCAAACAAAGGCCCATAACATCCCTACTATCGGCAGAATGGCATTACCGACAAAGACATGGGAAACTGGAATGGCCATTTCCGGCTTATTAGCTGTCGTCAGCCAGTCGTACCCAACCCCGAGGTGTGGAGCACCCGAGGCTCGAACTCGCGACCTGTTAGTTAGAAGTCCTCGCCTCTAGCCACTGGGCCACGAGTCCGCTGCCCTGTCGGTTTTCGATCGGGAATATACAATAGTAGAGACGCTCACTGATCGTTATTACGGAACCAGCAGCTGCTGGTTGGGCTCGAGAAAGAGCTCGTAAGGAACATCGGAACACACACACACATTTCTGCACACGGCATACCAGGAAAACCTCGTTGTATGCGATATGTCAATCTTAACCGCACACTCTGCCGCCGGCGTGCCCCAAACAAAGGCCCATAACATCCCTAATATCCTCGATACGGGAAGAGGATTTTATTAATGACAGCCAGGTTCCTATGAATTTCGCATTTCGGCATTTGGGGCAACAAAAGGTAGCACCACCTACCGCCATACGTAGGGTTTATAGGTGCATTGCACTTCCTCAGTTGCGGTCCATTTGGCATGTAATTATCTCCCTCTCAGGATAATATTCAATGACTTTGGTGGTTTGAGCCACAACAGATACTCAACATCCCCGCCGCCGCCATCGGTCTCCATCATTTCCATCATTCTTGCCGCAACCTACACAACGACGACGACGACCACCACCACCACCACAACTCCCATTCCCACCACCGATCAAACGCCCTCAACGACCCGTCAGCCACCATCCCCACCATTATTTCCGCCTTCAGTAATGTACAGTCGGTTCCAACCTGTCATCATTGCAATTACACACTCATCTCGCGCATCGGCCTGATCGACCATTCGCGAATCCGTTGTGCTCCAGTGTCAGAAGCCTCCACACACACTCACCGCATCTGTTCTTCAGTGTTCACATGGGCCTATTCGGTTACATGCGTATTAACAACAGCGGAATTCATCGCAGTATCGACACACCTTGCACATTCACCAACTTTTTCGCCTCCAGCCCAATCAACTTTTCGTCGACCAGCCCGCCCACCACTGGCAACCGATTGAACATCTCCCACCTCTACACACCGACCTGGTCGGTCACTTGTGAATCCATCGCACAGAGGCTGGCGAACCAGTGTCAGGAGCACCAACCTACACCCACCGTGCTCGCCTCCACTGCCCACACTGCCCTCGCACCTTCACGCCTAGAACACCGACATGCACCAAACGCCATCGCCTCACTTGCCTGGACTGCCCTCGCATATTCAGCCACTGCACAGACCTCGTCGGTCAAGTACGTCTTCGTGAAGACCACTGATAAATCACCGCAGGCATGACCACATCGCTACACATTCCGCCATCAACACATACACCATACATTAACACCTCCAACATCTCACATCACCGACACCTCTCACGAAAGTGGGAATTGTGTCCTTCGGTTCCTTCCTCTGCTACACGTGAGATCCGAGCTGTCCGGCCCCTGTTTGTGAAACCCTGGTGCACGCACATGGTGCCAAGTCACGTGTATGGCCCGCGCTCCCTCCTCTCTCTCTCTCTCACTCACCCGAGTCCGGTGTCAAAACACAGTCAAGAGGGCCGGAGGCAGGATCGGGCCCAGGTGGCTGGCGCAGCGTGAACCTGCGCATAGACGCACAACTGCACTCCTACGTATGCCATATGTTTTGGGTATGTAGCCCAATAACGCGTGCCGGACCCTGATCTGTCGTCTGCGTTAGTGCATTACAGTCACCGCATGGCTGTTTGTGGAGGCATGGTGTACACGTACGCGCGGGTGTGCGCACACTTGTTGCACGGTGGACCGGTAAGGGGGCAGCTTTTGCGACTGAACAAATGCGGTCAAACATGTAGCGGGCAGCCATCATGACCGGTCTGGTGTCATTGTTCAAGACCTGGCCGTCTCAAGGTCATTCGCCCTTTTGCATCGAGCCTTTCCAAGCGCGCTGACCTGACATCACACGACGGACATCTCGGGCACACCTGCGGCCGCACAGCCGCAGATGCCCATGCGCCGCTTGAACGCGCCACCCCTGCAGCCAGAAAAACAAGCCACTGGGACACCACCCCCCGACAAATTCAACACACACTGACTGGACACCACTTGAGCTTGGCCCACGAGCCTACAAAAGCCGCTGCCACCACTATCTCAGGGACTCTCAGGCATGACTGGACGCAGTCAACGCCAGTCCTGGCTTTGCCAGTGGCCACTGCCGCCTGAGAGGACAACTCCGGTTTCTGTGCACAATAAACCCCTCATTCTGGTGCCTTCCGTCTCTTTCCTTCCAAAACTAGGATTAGCCCTGATTATATTAGCGCTCTGAGTACAGAACACACACTCACACCGCTTGGTCACGACAAACAGTTGTGAGTAGCCAGTTTAGTAGTAACAGGCTCTAAGAGGAGAGATACGAGGGCAAGAAAGCACAAAGGAGCGAAATGCAGTAACTACAGATCGCAGACAGAATAAGTATTACAATTTACTTGGCGGTGGATGGGCCAATCACCCATCGGTACCATTTACGTCATTGGTAAAGACAGAAAAAGCGATATATGGCGGAATCAAGTGTTCGCTAATTTTCTTCACAGAGATCCCGAAGACTTCAAGTCGCTAGCCACAGGGTGTGGTGAATACCGCGCCTGGACTCACATGCGTAGGTGTGCCGACCGCTCTTTGATGTAGCATTGACCGGCTCTACTGCAAACTCCCGCACACACTGACCTGCAGCAACTCGAGCGCCTTCAACTCGGACACAGGTGCGCGCACAGATTCGCAGATGTTCATGCGCCACTCGAACCCACCACCCCCCTGCGAACACAACTTAAGTCACTTGAATACGCCCCCTCTGGGTAAATGCAACACACACCAATTGGACACCACTTGAGCCTTTTCCACATAAACCTACAAAGAAGCTGCCACCACAGCCTCAGGAACTCCCAGGCATGACTGAACGCAGTCAGCACTAACCCTGGCTTTTCCAGCAGCCTCTATCACCTTGGAGGACTACTCAGGTTTCTGTACACAGTAAACCCCTCACTCCGGTGACTTCTGTCCTTTCCTATGAAACAGGATTTGGTTTGATGATTGCAGCGCTCTGAGTACCCCCTCGTAAGGCATACAACCACGTGCCCTTTTGGGAACTGTCAACTTGATCATCACACTAACGGTTGCTTTTGTTGATTATAGCTGTGTGTGCTGTCTTCTATATAATTTACGTGGGGTCGGGCCACCGTTAGTGCAAAGGCAAAAGTGCGGGCTTGGTGAGAAAAGCTGCCTCATACTGATCCTCGTTGCAGCAGTGCATATTCTAGGTGACCTTATTTGGCAACCTGTTTGTTGAACAAGTGCACGCATGTACAAGCGTTTGCGTGCGAGAACCTTACAGAACTTATGACGGGTCGGATGACATGCGCCGATGCGGATCTAATTATCGGCTCGGTCTAATGCTGCAGCCCTTACAAAGATGTAGGCGACGCAGCGGATGCTTTCCACTGACAAATGCCAGACTACGTTCTCGTTCAGAGGCGAGATTGACGGGACCTGCTGGGGAATAAGGCGATCTGCAGCGCTGATGGCCGGACGGACCGCCGTCTTGTCATTGCTCGGATGAGGCTCTGACTGCAACCTCGCAGGAAACCACCACCACCGTGTGAGTTGGATGCTGTCGTGTTGCGTATTTCTGCTTATCACTTGGATTTCAGCAACACACTAGCCCAGTGTCCGAGAGAGCTTTAGACGCCGGACGAGAACGCCACCTCGGAAGCACGGTGATGCAATCTGCAAGACGTTATCCACTCCAACGCCCTGCACGCCGTCAACACCGAGACTGGTTTGTCGACAAAGTGGAAATAACCAGTCCACACGCCGAGATGAATAGGCTGCACAAAGCCTACATCAATCGCCGGACCAACGCAAACAAAGCAGCCCTCCTTAGATTTCGCCGCCTGGTGCAGCTACGGCTGAGAGAGACGCAAAGTGCGCGGATGGATCGTAAGGTCAAGCGAATTAAAAAATACGCGGAACGCGACGACATGAAGAATCTCTTCGCATCCATCAAGAAAGCCTACGATCTCCGCGCCACTGCTCAGCTCTGACGGAACAACACTGCCCACGGAGAAATCCCAGATTCTAAAGCGTTGAGATGAGCACTCAAGAAAAGTCCTCAACCGCAAAGGCGTTGGCGGCGCAGCAGGCGCTGTGCGGTTCGCGCATTGGACGTTTCCAGCGCTGAATGCAAAGGGAGGCTAATCCGTCGGTGAAGGACTCTAGTTTTACCAGAACCTACGTCGGGGTACACTGCAGGCCATATTGGACACTCGAGATCCCGGGAGAAATGCGTGGTTTCTGGAAGGCAACCATGATTACGACGATGATAATGGTGTCAAAGGTAACTTGAGGAGAACCATTAAGGGAAACGAGGAGATCTGTTATAGTGATGACGCATTCGGACCTCTTAGCACACTGCGATCCGTGCCTTCGTCTAGAATCGAGTGACTGATTTTGATGGCAGTTCTAGCCTTCACTCACGAGACTTCAGCACCCAAGTCTTCCTACAAAAAACGAGGACGGGAAATCAAGGGAAAGTTGCCGATGAGGGAGCTCGGCTAGGCCAGGCAGTTGGGTAATTGTATCACGTCGGAATCACCCATTTCCAACAACCAACTTAATGAGCGCGCCCTAGCACTAAAATCATCTAGGAAGGTAACAAAGGATTATTGTGTACCTCGAATCCAGAATTGCAATTTAAGGTTTTCTACTTTGTGATATTTAAGAAGGCTGCAGGCGGCAAGGGCCACCGGGAGAACGAGGCGATGACTCATGAACGGGCCATGTTATAGTGATGTAGGCTCAGGCAGTCCTTACCCGGGCCTCTTCTTCCACAACCACCAGTACTAATGGAAAAACAAAGTCTAAACAACTGGAAGCTATTGTGGACACAGTGGTCCGTGAGGATGGGCCTATAACTCGGCGTGCAACACAAATGCTATTCCATACGTGTGCACGAGCCAGGAGTCGAGAATGATCACTGGTCTTTCATTGACGGAAGTTCCAAAAAAGTCCCCGCTTAATCACACCCTCGGCTCCGAGGAAGACCGAGTTAGCCCATTAGTCGGCAACCTCCCAACCCGTGACTTTCAGGACGCAGTGACAATTTAAAAACGTCGCGATGAGATAATAAAGCGCAAGACCAGTCTCACTAGGCAAACAAGCAAGGGTACGCTCCAACGTATGCGCAAGAAAATGCCAAAAATAAGGAAATTTACCTCAGTGACTTACAGGTAAATGACTGATTCTACAGATGCAATGGGAATGCGAGTGTGTGTCACGAGAGGCCCTTTATCCAAGATGGGACTAAACTGTCAAAGTGGAAATAATTACAATTAGTATGCCGATGAGCACAGACAGGTGCAACAGACCTGCAACATCCCTCCCTGCCTATAAGAACATTTTGGAGTCTCAGGGGGCCTTTCACGAGTCGAAAAATGTCCTGAACTGCTTGTGTCAAGTAGGTTCCTCCTGCTTCCATTTGGCGCTCTCCTCGTGAGATAAAGCTAACCTGCGGACGTACAGTAGATGGGCTAACTCATGAAATATCAACCGAAATTCCGAAATGCGTTTTCGTTTCGAAAAGATTAATTAAATAGGGTTGTAAAACTAGTCAGCCTTTAACATAATTATGTAATATGTCAGCTACCTCAGGATGCCACCTTTCTAAAGAAATTCCTCCCGGGCTGCATGCAAAAACTGCACTCTGTAGAGAATCACTACTTAATTAACATGCATTTTCCTCATTGATTTTCGATGTCCCTAAAAGTCCAATTATATTTCATGAAAAGCATGCATACAAATATTCGTTCTTTTGCTCATTAGGTACATAATTACGTCTTTTCCAATCTTATACTCGAAGGAATGGTAGAATTCGGTTTTCGAAAACGTCTCCAATTCCGGAATAATTTTGAACCCGATCAACCGTTACACTTGGATTCAGGGTTTCCAAACTACAAGCCGTATATTTTCCGCGTAAGGAAAACCACACATCTCTCTAGGGTAATAAAGGGGGACCATATAGGGTTCAGAAAATTAAGTAGTGAATTTTATCCATATTGGTAACTTTACAAGCCACATTGGCAAATGCAAAGACATGACGATTTATGAACGGCCATTTCACGGTATTTAACTCCCACAATTAAACTTTTTTAAAACGGAATTATGTCCCTCCTTCGAGTACAAAACTGGAAGTATCTGCCGAATGTGTAAAAGAATGAATATTTTGATGCCTGTTTTCTATGAAATATAGTTCGACTTTTAGGGGCATCG